ATAATGTTAATAACATTCCAATAAATTGTTTAAAATTAAGAAAATCATCAAATAAAGTAAAACTACCAAGAAGAATTGAAATTGTTTTCATATGACCAATCATATTATAAGTCAATGCTGATCTAAAATTTTGTTACTAGAAAAAAAAGAAAAATTAATTTAAACTTACGTATTTTTAATAACCCAATAAACTGATAAATTAACAACAAATGCAACAATACCCGAAGCTACAACAGCTAGTATAGCTATTCGTTGTTCTTCAGATGTTTTATATACTGGAAATTTTTCCATATAGAATATAAATGGTAGAAGTAATAATGCTGATAATGGTGCTTGATAATAAAGTAATTGTTGTGAATTCATTTTTAATTCTTTTAAACGTTCACTTATCCATATTTGATAAAGTGATGCTGATATAAAACCAATTGTTGCTATTATTGTACCAAATAATGTTAATTGAATATCATTAACTGAATGTATAGATACACCAACGACGACAGGTATTAATGTAACTATAACCATTTTTGAATATTTTGTTTCGTAAAATTGCCATGATATTAATACAACTACAGGTGTTGTTAAAACTTTAAATAATTGATATGTTCCTATTGTATTATATTCTAATGATAAATTTGTAAATACAACAAATGCACAAAATGCTATTGATAATGGTAAAATTTGTTTGATTGATATTGTTTTACGTACAAATGTATTCATTTGTAAACATATTATAAGACCAAATGATGTAAATATCATTTGTATAGCAGTTAATGTCATTGTTTGTATATGACAATGAGAAAATATATATTTATTAAGAAATATAATAGCAATTGCTGATAAAATATTAGCTGCACAACCTAATACAATAAGACAATTTTGTTTTAGCCCATCTTTTGATGATTGAATTAATAATGAATCAATTTTAATCTATAAAAAAAAATATGAATGAAATTCAAGAAAATCTTATAATAAAATACATACAAGTGATATATTTATATCTGATGATGTACCATTTTTATTAGTATGATTTGTTGACATTGTACACAAATTAGAATGAAATATTTCAGATAAAACAGATTTTATTTTCGCAAACTAAATTATATCTACAAATTTAACATCTTTCTTTTTATTAATTATACAGCGTACGAATAAATGATGAAAACGTATAAAAAACATGCTACATACTGTTCTTGATTTACATAGAACACAGAGAAAGAAATGTTAGATTAAATATTTTTAATAATTATGAGAGAGTAATTCTATTCCACTCTTATTTTTGTTATATTTAACTTGAATGTAAATGTGAATAAGAAAAATAGTATGTCGGCTCTGAGGAGATAAAAGAGAGAAAAAATAATGTGCATAAAAATACATATGTAAGCATATAGAACAACATACCTGTAAATAGACATTCACACATAACATTCTAAAGAGTGTAGAGAAAGAAAAAATAGTTAAGATAATAATGTGGAATAAATCAATAGAGTGTGAGTGTGGATGGTTGATATTGTTTTCACCTTGTAGAGATCAGCCTCTAGAACTGACTTGTAAGTTGGAAGAAAACCAGTTTTGAGAGAACTCCCCACGTTAAGTGGAACAGTGTCTACACTTGAGATTTTTATGAAAGATATATCTCTTAGTTTTCTATTCATGATAAAAATATTAGATCTTTATTTCATTTTAAAGCACAAAATTTTTTTGTGTGAAGAACTTTTTTTTAAATTTAAGAAATGGAATATGTAAACGCTTTAGTCATTTTTAAAGCTTGATGAAATGTAGTTAGATCTATATCATAAAGAAAACACATTCGAAAAAACAATCTACATGACTTGTTGTGTTCATATAATTTGACATGTTAACGTATTTTATTACAATTCAATATATAAGGGTGAGGAGAAATTTCAGAATCGGTAAGTATTGCCGGAACTCAATGAATGTCGAAGGGATCACTAATATCGTGTGATAATCGAGTTTCCGGTATTGGAGAGAATTGATTCTGTGTGTGAAACTAGTTCTTGTAATGTTCAACATCGCGAAATCGGATGTATTCTCCATTCTTAATTCTACATCATCAATTGGATCACTTGATTAATAAGCATTATTAATTAAAATAATCTCATATGCGTTCATCACTATTCGAAGTCGAGGTTGTTGAGAATTAAAAACAGTTAGAAAATCATTATATATATATATATATATATTTTAGTTTAAAAAGAATAAAAAAGAAATTCAATAACATACAAAATAAAAATTATTTTTTTTTTATTATTTTACTCTATTTCATCCATGACTATTGTTTGATTATTTGTTACTTTCATATTCTATTGCCATTCGATAGAAAGAAAATGAATGTCTATATCTTTTACTATTCTCTTATTATTATAATAAACACATCAAGATTCTCATTACAACATATTTATGTAATTGTATTGCTGTCCATCTTATTCATGGTCGTGTACTATCCAGAAAATAATATTAATTATACTTACTTCACTCAAACTACAAACTATTCTATTGAAAATGCTCTAGAACATATTCCTATTTGCCATTCGTATGATCGATCTCGTCAACGATGTTTACTCACAACACTTCATGCACGGACAGATTTTGCTCATGAACATAAAATACACTACTGGATAGCATATGGCACACTTATTGGTTATCTACAACGTGGTGGTTTATTACCACATGATCATGATATTGATATTTTAATATTAGCACAAGACACACAATATCTAGTTCCATTCTCAAACAGTAGTTTTTCATCAGCCTATGAACTTAAACTTTATCCACAATGGTCTACTGTTGGATATGCAAATCGTTCTTATTTTCGTTCAGAAGGTATTCATTTCGTGGCACCTAACGCTCGATTTATAGATCGAGAATTCCATTATCATGTAGATATTTGGCCTACGTACGATTTTCATCCTGATCAACCAACAAATATAACATATCTTAAGAAAACTCTTACTGACTATGATCGATCATACAGTTGGGTATCTTCTTCAATAGAATGGACATTTCTATTAAAACCATGTATATTTAGTGGAGTAAAAGCTTGGTGTCCAGCAATACCTAAACGATTAGTATCAATGGTATATGGAATCGAAGCTAATAATGAAACAAATAAAAAGTGTGTCAATGAAACATGGATTAATGTATAAAATTTCTAAAATGTCATTAGAATCTATGAATTGTTTTTATGTACGCACATGACAAAATATAGTTATATTCTCAAAAAAGAAAAAATAGAAATATATCATAACTTTTGAGAAATAATATTTTCACTTCTCATTTACAACGGAAAATGATTAAACTAGTAGAATGTACAATATGAAAAATCAATCGATATTCATAACCTTTTTCAGTATGCACTTTTAGTGAGTTTCTTCATAGCGAACTAATTAAAAAATTTTCTTTTCATTTTTTTAAAGTTTTATCATATAATTTATATTCCTATATAAAAATGATACATTGATTACATCAAGTAAATAGAATAAATAGTTTGATATGATGATGTTACAATAATTAATAAAAACTTCTAAAAGATTGTTTTATTCAATGTCAGATGACACTCTTATTTTTTATATGATTTAACTGATTACTATTTATTATTTAATATTTTTAGTCATTCTATTCAAACGTATTCTATTCTATATTTTGATGAAATTTAGTATACTTACAGTATCATGTACTTATATATACAACTCAATTAGTTAACATTTTTTTGCATTGATTTCATACTCTTTATAGTATATCTATCAATAAATTATTCAACTATGCCACAATTTTTAGACAAATAGACAAGACAAGTCTCCCTTTTATCAGACGAAAATGATCGATAGAATAGGCAGGAATTTTATTTATAGATCCAACAAAATACTGATAATGTAAAAAGAATATAAGAAAATGAGAAGATAGTAGAGCGAAACGTATTATAAAAGGGTGTATGTGTGGGTGCGGATAATGAAGAAGACGAATACACACATCGACACACTCAAAATTACAGTGAATTAGAAAATATTTTTACACAACCACAAACATCAGCACGTGCACGATTTATGATTCAAGATCTGATGGATTTAAGAATAGCTAATTCGATTGCTCGTATTGCTGAAGCAAAACCAACGACAGTAGATGGTATTCATAAACAAGAGCAGCGCCGAGACCAACATCGTAATAACCCAGGCGATGGTAATAATGCACAACAATATACTGGATCGTGTAGCGGTAGTGGTATAAAACAACAAGTAAATCGAATGAATGAGGAACGAAATGAAAGACGTTTTGGTGCTAACTCAGTACGACAATATCAATCGGATGATAAACGAAATCCAGTAACACCATTAAATCTTGCACCACAATGTGTATGTTTTAAAGCATCAACAACTAAAAAGAAACCTGAAGATGATCGTGCAAATATGAATTGAACTGGTAAACGTCCAAGTGGTTCTTCTCAAGAATACAACAAATCTAAAACTACTATACCTCCGAGTACTCCTGATTATATGACTCAACGACAACCATCTGATGAATTATTACGTGAAATCCTGCTGAATTATTACGAAGAACAGCAAGTGGTAGTGAAGAAGTACCTAATTCAAATTATAATTCAGTAACAAATTCATGTAACAGTTCTCGTAATATCAGTCGTGAACAATCACTTGAATCAAGTTTGAACAAAGTATCGGCAACATCAGCATCAACATCAACAACAACGCCACTCTTATACAACTAGCATACTACAAGCTTCCCAAGAAAATATTATAGTAGAAGTATTAAATCAAATAAATATAGAAACGATACTACAAATTCAGTGTATAATATCAAGAAGTTTTTATTTCTAAACTAAAATATGTGTTACTCTTCTCTTTAATCATTCATTCATTTTATTTCTTTATATTTGTCACGTTTTATATCTTTGTATTTTTGCTTGCTAAATGATTTACAATTAATATTGGTTTTTAAAAGCACTCCAAAGTGAACAAAATAAATGTTTATTGAAAAAGAAAAAAACCGCATTTACATCTTTCTTATAATATCGAATTAAAAAATACACACAAACGCTTAACATACATATATATAGGCAAATATTTAAGAGTTTTTGTGTTAAATGAGTAAGCACCTGAAAAATGAATATACTAAATAAGTGTATCTAATTTTGAAATGATCATGCAGCGAAAGATTCAGCTTTACCACCGATCAGCCAGCCATCACTATGAAACTATTTGTGGGGCCACCTTGATTGGCTAACCAAAAACTGATGTTATAGCTTCCACCGATTACTGTTGCAAACGTTTGGCTGAGATAATCCGTATATCCTATTGACCCATCGTAGAAACTTTCGCTACCTGATTCGACACATGCAGGTGATATAATACCGGCAGCAACAGCTCCATTCGGATTACAGTAAGTATAATATGTAGTTAATGGACTCGCTTCAAACCCACCATCTTGCCAGAGCTCTGTCTCGTTGTACATGACTGAAATGTCATCGAGACACCAATAGCTAGGATCTTGACGAGAAATCATCATCATTATTGTAAACCTTTCTACAGCAACATATTCGAATGTAAAGAATTTATAACTAAATGGCAAAGCATTTTGAAAGTTTAGCAGAATAGTAGGCGTGGCAGTAAGTATTGCTGTGCAAGTGTTGTTCAAAACATCTAAAGAAAATAAAGAAATTACATTGGGAGAACCTTATCGCTTTCGTAAACATTTCTAATACTAATGCCAGTATCTCAACAAACTTCAGCGCCATTTTTTTTAAAACATTTAAAAGTCTTTCCTGAATTATATTTACAACTTACTAATTGTCACCGTAGCAGTTGTCGTAGTAATAGTATATGTTGCTGTTCCAACTGCTGTGGTACTAGTATATGTTGTTGCTGAGCCTATTCCAGTTGCTGTTGTACCAGTAAGTGTTGTGCTTGTAAGAGTATGAGCTGTAGTAGTACCTGTATGATCAGTGGTTGTACCAGTGTGATCTGTGGTAGTACCAGTAGGTGCAGTAGTTGTACCTGTATGAGCTGTGATAGTACCTGTATGATCAGTTGTTGGTATCAATGTGAGCTGTGCTTGTACCAGTATGAGCTGTCGTAGTTCCAGTGTGAACTGTGGTGGTACCAGTGTGAGCTGTTGTAGTACCTGTATGAGCCGTTGTTGTACCAGTATGAGCAGTTGTTGTGCCAGTGTGTGCTGTGCTGGTACCTGTGTGAGCAGTGGAAGTACCAGTATGAGCAGTTGTTGTACCAGTGTGTGCTGTTGTGGTACCTGTGGGCGCTGTGTTAGATCCAGTGTGAGTAGTGGAAGTACCAGTGTGAGCAGTTGTTGTACCTGTATGAGTTGTTGGAGGCCGTTGATGAAGGACGTCTAGGTGAAATTGGTTTTGTTTATTTATCTGTGGATTGGAGATTTGCGCGTTTTCGTACGGTCGTGTTTGAGAGCGTTTAATGATAATTCTACTAATCAAAATACTTTGTCAAACATTTGCATATGATTGTATTTATCGAAATAATAACATAACCATTTAGACTATAATTATCATATAATAACTATATGATAGATAAACAGATATATGTGAAGTTGCATTTCGAAACTCTAATCTTAATATCTAGGGGTGTTATGTATATCTGAATGATAACAATAGTTTTTTTTTAAACAATTTCTATTAGTTCTGAAGCAGCACGTCCACATATAAATATTCCTTTCTCTTGTCATACTTCATACTCATTCTCTTACATATGATCATTTCTTTTTTGAGATTCTAGATACGTGTTGTGTCTATTTTAGAAGCTGATATTATATATGAAATAAACTGATTTTATTTAAAGAATATCGAAGAAGAAAAATAATTAAAAAGTAAAATTGTAGAACAATTTTTTATTTTGTTTTATTATAAGAGTAAATAAGAAGGGATAATGAATCGTCTGATACTATCTGACAATTCATTACATATATTCATATAATTAATGCATCAAGATTATTCTCATGATTTACTTCGGTCATGTTTATCTACTATTTCGACAATAATGATATTTCATTTCATTTGACATCGTTCTTAAATATCGCAGTTTATTACTATACGATCATGATATTGGCATATTAATATTACCATTAGACACATCACATCTTGTTTCATCTGAAAATACAAATTTTTCAACGCATTTTGAAATCTAAAGTTTCATTCTAATCGACCGAATAATCTAATGTATTTTACATAAACTCTCAATTATTATAATATTTGGGTAAAAACAAAAATTTAAAATACAACAATCAAATAGTTATTGAAATATCTTCTATTTTTTCAAGACTGTTTTGTATTCTTAATTAGTAAATTGATAGATTCTTGAAATGAAATATTCTAAAAATAAACTTTGTCATAATAGATGATAAAAAAAGCAAATATATTTGCAAAGAAGAAATTTATAAAATTATTATATTTGTTTTATTTCGATAATTCAAAGATTATTTATAAATTAAATATAAAGTTCTTATTAAAATTATAATATAGAATATATAGATAAAAACAAATTTTATCTTCCATGTACTAGAAGAGAACAAAGAAAACAAGAAGATTTGACATGAGATAAAATTTATATAGAAATAGTATCATGCATTAAAAACATGTTTTATTATATTTATTGATAATAAATATTCATGTATTTAATTGTATTAATATTTTCATTAAAAAATAAAAACAAGTTATTATGCGTGAACAAGAATAGAATCAAATAGATCAAACATAATGAACATAAAATATATGTTTAGACTGCTTTAAAACAAGTTATTATTTTAACAGAAAAACTATATTGTTGGAATTTGTTAAAATAATCTTTAAAAGTAGAGGCAACAAAACAAATTTACATTAAAAAAAACAGAATCTTCTCAATATAATGCTAATTAAAAAAACTGTGTCCTCCAAGAAGTGTTTTCACTATATCACTACTTACAACAGGAATAAGTATTATAACACCATTTATTAATACAATTAAATCAAATGCAGTATGAATCTTTTGTATAATGAATCAAATTTTCATTGAAATAAAATATCAAAATTAACTGGTAAAATGAAAAGTTTCAGCTAATCATAAAAATGAACTTATGAAGCATCACCATGTAGAAAATTATCCGAAAGAAGTGTAGGAAAACGATGTGGTGGTGATGATGATTGTTGATAAACAGCATAAATCTTATATTATAATAATCAAAATATATACATTTGATATTATTGATAATGTCTGTTTCTTACTAGTTCTCAACAAATTTATTAACATGTCTTACGTCGTCAAATGTTAGTTTAGTAATATCATGTTATCTTGCCTTAAACAATGAATACCATTGTTTAAATTTAAGTGCATTTGTTGTTAAATATGCATGTTGATTTTCTATCCGACCAAGACTATCAATTGCTGGCATCTTGTGTTTTTTTTTGAATATATTCAAAACTCAAAAAAGTATAATAACAATTAATAACATAAATATTTTTTAATTCTTGTGGGTAAAACATTGTTCTTATAATTGATATTTGATCCGTTAGAAGTCAAATAGAGTTTTATTATGGTTAAATTGTGAATATCGAGTGAAGTTTCTATGTCTGAGCCAACAAAGTTTAAATTCTTCTATGTCGATGCATCATTATGAAAGATTTTCGGAGTATAAATATATAACAAATCTATTAGCTGGTTAGATTTGATATAAACTATGATTAAATATATAATAGAAGTAATGAAAACAGATAAGTATTTTAATAGTAAAATATATCAACTGAAATTCAAGCTAATAATTATTCTATTGTTTCTTGAAATTCACTGATAAGAGGTATTGATCACAAACGAAAGAATTCAAATAAAGCGGAATGTTTCTATGATTTTTATGAATACTATCAAATATTCTGAACGATATTTTTAAATCAGCTATTGCCTTTGAAACTGTATAAATAAAATCTATTAATTATTTGAATAGTATGTAGAAAAAATAAGTATATTCTATCTATGATTGATAATAATATTAATTAGAAATATTTCTCTTCTCTATTCAGTATTTAACGGAAGCAAAACATTTAAATTTAGATGATTTTTATAGTTTTGTGTACGATATTAACTTCAATAGTAGATTGATTGAAACTTATGCTCAAATTTTTCTTTTTATTACTATGTTGTAATCGTATTTGAAAGTATTACAATCCAAGAAAACGTACTTCATCAAAACTATGAATAAATTTTGATCAAATTTCAAAGAAATGCAGTTCATTTTTGATTATATCTTGAATCCTATTTTGATGATCGTAGTATATTGTTATTCAATTGAAACAATAGTAGAATTGAATAAGCAGTAATTTCTTTAAAATTGATA